CACACACACACACACAAAGTGACGCCTACTCTTTAGGAATGATTGACAGGACGACATCAAAGCAGATTGCCGTTGTTGCGTGGAAACCTCGTAACTCTCGCTCTCTGTGGTTTTTAATGTGTTTTCGGACTAATTTGAAGGTTTGGAGGATTTTAAAACCTGATGAGAGGAGCTGAAAACAAGCTGCGATCGGAAACAATGAACCAATGACGTCTGCGTGACCTTGTAGTTTCGTGGAGAACTTGTCTTATATTTTTAATGCTTAAAAACAACGCAACATGTGTCACGATTTTTCTAGAAAAGCTGTTGTGAAGCCCAAACAGGCCTCGTGGAGGGACTGCGAATAATGCTTCTGCTGTGAAACACAAAAACATCTCTGTGAACCAAAGCAGAGAAGGGAATTATGGGTAATTTGTAGTGCAGACCTGTGTGTAAATCAACATCCTTGTTAAGTTTTAGGCTTTTATTTTAGCCCAGTTCTGCCGGAGAAGATTATCGAGCAGAGCCGAGGAAACTAGCGGCTTGTTAGTTAGTGCAAATCTTTACCAAATTATTATAAAATCAACCAAAGAAAAAGGGAATTATTACATAAATACAAGGAGTTGTTTCATCGAGATAAACAGTTGGTGCCAAAGCAGAACTCTCTCGTAGTTCTCCCTGCAGCCATACCGCTAACTCTTTCAGCTCTGGAGAAGTTTCACAGTTTTGGGCGATTTAAGATTTTCCACCAAGCACATATATGTAAATATAAGATAAGATATTCGTTTAATAGTCCCGCAATAGGGAAATTCCAAGTATATATGAATGAATAAAATATGAAGCTTTGGCCAGCAGCCATTAGCTTAGCTTAGCATAGGGAGTAAAAAGCTAAAACTAGTGCTGCTCCGTGCACTAACTTATTAACACGATATGTTTTGGCCAGACTCTCGGCCAGAAAGCGTCTACGTCACATTTAAGGACTTTTTTTTTCTGTAAGTTTTGCAGATGAGCTTGATGTGTCTTTTTGTAAAAAATAAAGTGCCTGTGCAGAAAAGAAGCAGCTGAAGCTTTCAGAAACAGGACTGTGGTGTAGAATTTGGAAAACTGGGACTTGTGGGAACAGGCAGCCTGGGTGTCGACCTACCTCACAGTGTGGGTGGACATCCTATTTCCTGCTGGCGCTCTCGTTTTAATTTGCTCTTGTTTGGTTCTTGTTGTTAGATATTGAATGCAGCGTGTGTGTGTGTGTGTGTGTGTAGGTGAGGGAGGGAGGGAGGAGTAAAGTGGGTGAGGAGGGAGGTAAAAGACAGAGATATGGAGCTGATATTCCTTCTCATCTGTTTCTTTCAGAATTTGATTTGATCCCCGTCTGCTCGGAGGCTGATCTGTGGGAGCGCTGTAAGAAGGTCATATCTGCATAATAACACACACACAGCAGCCAGACGAGGATTTAGAGGCTGAAGGTGGGCGGACAGGATTCCTACCTGCCTACCTGCTCCATGTGTGCGTTTGGAAAACACATCATAAATGTTTGCATGGAAGTACATTTCTGACCTTGGAATCATTTCAACTTCCCTTGTTTTGTTTTTTCAGAAAGCAACTTTAAGGTTGAATTAATTGGTGGCGAAATAATGTTAACACAGGATTTTATTTATACATATTTATATATATTTATATATATTTATTTAGAGACTACAGCGACACCTGAACTCATTTTAGTGAGTTCAGAACAGATCAAATGGACGTGACGCCACATAGCGGCCAAACTAGGCTAGCGGACATTTATATCTATACACATTATAATTCTGTTTCTTTCTGTTTGAAAAGCCACATTTTCTCTGAGCTTTTAACATAGAAATAGCTTTAAAGGAGTATTTTAATACCTATGTATGGATGTCCCTTTAACCATTAATAATCAGAGTATCAGCACTACTAATACTAATATTAGTAGTAAACATAGTAAACGAGAGCTTATACTGGTTGTATAAGCAGTAGTTGTAACAGTCTTAGTAAATTAGTATTAATGATAAAAAGATGAGGAAAGGCGACTTACTGCTCTTTTTGGGATTTTTACCTCCTTTATCCTTTAATATTCCTGTAATGTGGTGTCAAATTTTCACAATCAAATTTGGGAATTTTTTAAGTTATTTTAGTTTTTGGTATCAACATAATATTCCTTCAGGATTTTAAATTCCAGCTTAATCTGCAGTTTTGCTTTGATATTTGTTTTAGTTTCTTTCTGAAATTAATTAGAGGATCTGAAAAGCAAGCAGTCCCCCCCCATCCACCCCCCTACACACACACACACA